GAATCCTAACTTACCTTATACAGAGTGATTTTTATGATTAAAAGTATTTATTATGAGCTTTTCCCCACATAAGTTCATTTAATTCTAACAACATAACCATATATTATTACCACTTCAGAGATGGAAAACAGAGGTTAGGAAACACCTGAAATCAAAAGTAGCAAGGAAATTCAAATTGAAAGCTTTGGAACTTCAAAGCCTATGTTAATAATTACACCTATATGTCCCCAGAATCTACATGATGGCTTTCAAAGTGTGATCCCTGGGCCACAGGAGCACCACTGCTTTGAAGGTTAGGAGACACGCCAGGACCCCAGACCTACTGAATGACACACTCTAGACAGAGGGCAGCCACCTAAGTCTTTGCAAGCTGTCCAGGGCAAATGAGAAGCACTAGTCTATGTTTTTCACACTAAGCTTAATGTTCAATTTTAAATGATCGCCATTTTGAAAAGCCCAAAATGTAGAGTGTTTATAATATTTTCATGACCATAGATAAATCAAAGACATGTTAATTCATTTCCTCACTGGCCCAAAGCACAGCAACTTTCCTCCCAAGCCTGAGAAAATGTTTAATATGTACCCTGATCATACTGTGTAAAAACAGCACAGTTGATCCTCCCTATGCATGAGCTGCACATCCAGGAATTCAACAAACTGTGGGCTGAAAATATTCGGGCAATGAAAATGGTGTCTCTACTGAACATGTACAGACTTGGTCTGGTCTTTATTCCCTAAACGGCAATGTACATAGCCTTTACCTTGCATTAGGTAGCTTAAGTATTTAAAGTACATAGGAAGGTGCGCATAGTACTACATCCACATGTAAAAACTACATTTTATGTACAGAATTTAAACATCCATCTTTGGGTTTTGGGATCCATGAAGGGTCCAGGAAAAAAAGCCCTGGCTAATGCCCAGGAATGACTGATTGACCTCACTTGAAACTGAGCTAAATTCAAAATATACAAAAGGTATAGAAGTCTACACTGACTCTTCAGAAGTTAATTGAAAGCCATATTTGGAAAGGAAAAAAAATATTCTGAATATGGGCAGTAGGAGCTTGATAAATCTTGGGCTGTAACTCCATAATCCTTTTTATCCTGGGCTCCATTCCAAATTTTTACATCATTTCAACAAACCTGCAGTTGCCAAAAATAGAAATTATAACTTTCAGAAATACTAGGTTCTCAGGATCAAATTGCTTTAAGTACATATATAGAGCATTTTTAATCTCAAGGAAAGCTAATCACCACCCAATTGTATGTCAGAGACTATTACAGTATACAGACTGGCAAAGAAACTAATATGATCCCAGCCCTCTGGCACTCTACAACTACCTCATCCTTCCCTCTTCAAAAATGTGTCATATCCAATTAAACCATGTCCTCAACTCATCTTCAGTTTAAGCAGTACATGTGTATGTGCATTCAAGTTTGCTTATTACTAATTAGACCTTTAAAAAAATAAGTACATTCAAGCACCTACCATAAGCGTAATGCACTGGAAGACTATAGAGTACTCAGCCCAAGTCTGGACCACCAGAGACGGCAAACCTGACTTAAAATGCTCACTGACCTGATGAAGGGTGTTCCAAGGTCAGGTGAGCTCCAGGACACTGACACAGGGCATCTTTTCATCTGCCTGGCCACTTACAGCCAGCACCTTTCGATGCCCACACACACTCAAGGGCTGGCAGCCCTGCCAAGAACCATCTTACTGGAAGGAACAGACCCAGTTTATCTCCCTCCTGCCAAATCGCCACTGAATCCCCTGAGAGCCAGACAGGCTTCCAAGAAAAAAAATTATCATTGCTCATTTCCCCACCCAGAGTTCAGGGCAACTGACATAATTCCCTACACCAACCACTTAAAAAGACCTTTTCATGTAAATTCCCATCTTGCTTTTTTTTTTTTTTTTTCGATACCAGGAATCAAACTCAGGACTTTGCACTTGCCAGGCAGGCACTGTGCCGCTGAACTATATCACCAGCCCCCGTCTTGCATTTTTAAAATCCAGCATTTTTTTCAAAATATCTTTTTTGTTTTGTTTTTTTTGTTTGTTTGTTTGTTTGTTTGTTTGTTTTTCTCCGGTACCGGGAACCGAACTCACAACTTTGCGCTTGCCAGGCAGGCGCTTTTGCCGCTGAGCTAAATCCCCAGCCCCTCTTCAAAATATCTTACAAAATGTAATCACAGGTTCTCTACCAACACTACCATTTCTGTACCTAACACAGGTATTTTTTTTAATCAAAGCCAACAGCTGTTTTCTCATCTCCCTCTGTAACAATCAGGAAAAGCAATCTATGGGTAACAAGGGCAACCAATAGCACCCACCATCAGAAAGAGAATACTCCACTCTCTTCCTTAAGCAAGACAAGCTGATAACAATGTTCTTCTCAAAGGATAGATAGATGTATTAAATGAGCGTTCAAGAAAAAAACTTTCACATGCATGGGAGGGGGGTTTACTTAAGCATCTATTCATTTTTGGCATCAAATAATCTTGCTACACATACCAGTTTACCACTTCTTTTAAAGAATCAGTAATCTAAGAAAGCAAAGAAGACTAGACTCAAATAGCTCAGGCCAAGGTCACATAAGATTTAAACAAAACACAAGCCAACTAAAAGTTCAAGTACACATAAAAAAGAACCAATAAATCTACACTCCAGTATGGATTCCAGAGCCACAGGGAGAAGCAGAAAGCTTTATAGTAGAGGTTATTTATGAAGTTACTGGCAATTGTCTTCACTTTAAGTCGCCCTGTCCTTCCAAATAATCTCATTTAATAAAATTTATGGAAATCAATCATTGCTAAGACAGAAACAGTTGCAATACAGCTGTATCTGTGTCAGTTAAATGTTTATAATGACAATTTTAAAAATTTATGTGAATTCTCCAGTAACAGCACCCAATGCACCATCTAGTGGAAGTCATGGAACATCGTAATTAATTAATCAAAAAAAAAAAAAAACAGAAATCCAGGAAACCAGGAAGGATTGAAGAGGTGGCTCAGGTAAACACACAGGCAAATACAAAGAGCTAAACTCTTTCCAATTTCTCACACAGCAGGAGTGCTGGGCTCATCAGAAGGAAGGACTCATTTTCCTTACAAATTAACACATGATAAGCATTGTGTTATGGAAATTTCTGCTTGAGTGCCAGAAGATTTAAACCAACTGGAGAGTAAGTTAAGGTAAGGTACCTCACTCAAATAAATGCAGCAGTAGGCTGACAGGCCTGGTATGAAGGATGCCTTGTACATTACAGAAGTATGGTATGTCAACACCTCCCTGTAACATGCTACAGCTGTCTTATCCACAAAACAAAGAACTACATACTTCATGACAAGAATAATTCAACAATTCATAAGACATTCCCATGTCACCCCAATAAAACATTTTTTAAAAACTTAAAAATTCTCTAGAGTTCCTAAGCTTTCACATCATTCCAGGTTACTCCCATACACCTAAACATTCTCGCTTCAGCTACTCCAATTAAGAAATTACTGTTATATTTTCAACCCTTCTATCAATTGACAATAAAGATTTCCCTAAAGTCATAAGCCACCATCAAAATGCATCACACTGTTTTGCATTTGCCTTACGCATATTATTTCATTTCAGTTCACAAAACAGTAGAGTACTGAAGTCACTAAGCTAGATGCAAGCATTATAAGGCTCTTTAGTACAGAAAACTTCCCCCACCAAATTTTAAAATAGAGATTCTCACATAGCACTACCAAGTTTTGTTTGTTTTTGTCTGTGTGGAAAATTACCTTCCTGGTGAAATTGAAACTATCTTAGCAACCTAGGAGGAAAAAGAAAAACTAAGAAACAATATTTATTTAAAAATAAACATCTCCATCTTTTACTCCTGTACATGTGATAGAATCAATATGCACAAGCTTGTTTGCTGGTAGGATAGAATGTAAAGTAGAAGGCAAGTTCTGTGATAGAATTCCTCTCAGCTCTAGAGCTTTCGGTTTATATACCCCCCAAATGGGTATACTATGCACAACCTACCTCAGGAGAAGGGGGCAGCATTCTAAACCTGACAGAGTGTTCTAAGCAGTTAATGAGTGGAAACCCTAATTCCATTCCTAAACGGAAATACTGTTTTGTAGAACCCGAGTGTCCCTGGACAGGGAGAATGCTTTTCAAGAGCTATCACTGTGCCGTTCCTGCTAAGACTGTGACCTTCACCATTTCACTTGTGAACAAATTGTATACCGAGCAGGTCAAAGCACAGGTAACAGCAATTCCGGATGCTTTTTAAATAAATCCTCCCAGTCATGTATCGAGTCGCCTGGAACCTGTCTAAAAAGTACAGTATTTATTGCACAAGTGGCAGGTGCAGTCCTTAAACCTCAAGTCCAGAGAATGCTTTAACAGGGGCTTTCTTCTTTTTTTAATTTGAACGCTGTCGTTAAAAATCAGAGAAAAAGCAGCAAGGAATCACACTTCGACTCCCACCCACGGCAGAGTGACAGCACCCAGGTGCCACCCCCACAGCTTCCAGACCCGTACAGACCTTCGCTCCTGGGAACACTCCACCCCCGCACCCCACCCCAGACCGAGGTGAGTCACACTGCTGGGTCTGCTTGTCACTTCAGAAAAAGCCCCCCGGCAAGTTCGCGTGAAAGGCCACGCTCCTGTCGGGCGGAAAACAATACATCGATGGGGACCAGCGTGACCGTGCGCACTGCCCCGCCGAGCGCCCGGCTCTGGACACGACCCGCTGGAGTCGCCTTTCTGGCTGGGCTGGGCTCTCCAGTTCCCGCTCCGATCGACAGCGCCGGCTCCCCAGAGTCCCCCGCAGCCCCGCGGAGCCCCCACCCCGCAGGGTCCCCACCCCATTCTCCGCTCTCCCAGCGCGAGGTGCCTCGCGGGCTCCGGGCCGAGGAGCCTCGAGGCCACGCGAGCCTCCGGAGACCACGGCCCGGCCCGGGCGTCCCGACAGGGGCAGCAGCGCCCGCGCTCCTCGCGTGCCCTATTACCTGCTCCGGGCGCAGCGGGCGCAGCGGGAGGTGCGCCGGTTCCAGCCCTGCAGCCCCGGGCGCGCAGGCAGGCGGCGGCGACCGGGACGCCGCCAAGGACAATCGGGAGCCGGAGGGTTCCGCTGCGCCGCGGCGAGCACAGAACGCACAAGCCCCAGGGAGCCGGGCCCCCACTCCAGCGCCCGCTGGGGAGGATTCGGTCCCGCCCCCCGGTGGGCGGGGATAGAGGCGGGGCGGGGCCTGCTCGACCACCGCCTTATGAGAAACGCCTGCGGATTGGCTGGGAAAGGAGAGGGCGTGCCAAACGTAAAGACTACCTCTTCAATACAACTCTTTCATTGGCCTGGGAGGGAAAACAAAGCAGAATTTGGATTGGTGACACCCTGTGACAGCTCCTCCTACCACTCTGCAATCATCTCAAGCTCCGCCCCCATCCACCGGCTCTCTTGCCTTTCGCTCCGCAGTCCCAGGTGGCTGCGCTTCCGGGGTCCTGACTGGAGAGAGCACAACAGCAGTTTCTTCTGTGGATGCGCCTTCTTATCTCCCCGCAGCACTTTGGTTTTTACATCAACCTAGTGAAAAGATCTGATTTTTAACATCAGGTTGATTTAACACAGGTAAGATTCGGAAGGGCATCGTCCTACGCGAAGAAAAGGCACGAAACCTTGGCGAGGGTGTCGGTGGCACTTCCTTACAGTGCTCCGTGTTAAGTAGGCATTGCTTTCGTAATTAGAAAAAAGGTGTGTAAAAAAAAAACAAAAAAAATGAATTAGGTACAGAGAAAGATAAAGACAAACTTGAGGATGTGCAGGGAACTGATTCTTCCACAATAGAAGGAAATACAGTAATTACATTCAACATCTGTGGGCCATCAAGAAACGAGCCTCGGAACCAGCCTGTTTCTGCTCAAAGAACCTCACCAATGTGGTGGCGGCGCCCACTTGCTCAGGAAGGCCTGAGCAACTGCTGTTTATGCAACTCATGATGTAGCTTGCGGAACACTGCGAAAGGATTAATACAGGAAAACAACTCTGGGGAAGAACTTAGCATCTAACATACAAAATGAAGTTTAGTGGAGAGAGAGATTTGCAGATGGTGTAAACTGGAAAGCTCAGCTAACAGAGGGACTCCCTAGAAAAGAATGTGACAGTACCTCCGAGATGGGACCTAGACTTTATCGTTAAAGACTGAGGGAGGAGGAGGGGGTTGAGATACGGACCAATGACCCACGGTTAAAGTAACCTGAGCTCTTAGTCCACTTCAGCCAGGCCTGGTGTCGTCCTGGGACTCCTCTAGTGATTCTCCCCAGTCTGCTTCAGCTCTGTTCTGCCGTTCTAACTGTTCTTGCCATTCCTATGGTGTCTAAAACAGGTGATGTGAAATGAAGCCCTTCCTCCAACTTCATGAGGTACATAACAGTGGAAAAATGGGGACTGACAGAAATCAAACAGAAAAAAAGGAATGTTAAGATAAATACAAAAAAAACAAAAAAGAAGCAAGGGCTAAAAAAAAATTCAAAGAATAGGAAAAATCCTTTTTTTCCCTATTTCCTAAGAAAAAAGTAAAGCTCTTTGAAGGACAGAGTAACTTCATGGCCTAACAGAAAGAGTTTTACAGAACCTCTATAATAAATGAAATCATAAACAATAATCTGAAAAATAAATGTCCTGGAGTAAGTACTCTAAAGTATTGAGAGCTAATTATTTTTAAATTATGTAAGAAATAAAAAGAGGAATTTAGCATTCTCTAATATAAGTAAATAAAACACAATCCAAATTTTTTTCTACAATAATGCTGGAAATGCCTCCATTCTTTGGATTAAATAACTTAATCATTGTTTAATATTTAAATAAATTATAAGATGATTCACTTACTCATCAAACATAATCAAATATTAACCATCTAATACTAAGCACTCAGTATATCCCTAAACAGGATAGAGTTGAAGCTATTCTTATCAGAAAAGGATAGATAATGAAGCAGGAAACAACCTTGAAAACTGAGATAAGAGCAAAGAAGAAAAAGAAAATGTGACCAAGAGGATGTGGGAGACCCTGTATTTGGAGAAAGGAGACAGAAATGCTTTAAGGAGAAATGCCCTAATGTTTGAGTTGCCACCTAACTGAGGAAACACCAGCTTTGCAACATTGCAAGGCAGAAGAAATGAAGGCAATGGTCCTGAAGTAGGAAAAAAAGCGATGTGCAGGGCAGATAGAAGGTAAGGCCAGAGCAGATAGACTGGCCCACATAGGGAGCGGAACCTAACAGGACAGACATGGAGCTTGTAGACAATGGTAGGGAGTTTGTCTTGTATTACAAAGGTTCCTGCAAAGAATAACATTAAGTTACTAATGTTGGAGTACAATCATTATTGGTCTTTGTTTTTTGTTTTGTTTTGCTTTGCTTTGCTTTGCTCTGCTTTCACTCTTTTAGAATTTATCGGAGAAATAGGCATTCGTTCATTAAGCCAATCCACCAGGCATAGATTTATGAAGCAGTTACTACTTCCCAGGAAAAGATTAGGCCTGGGTGTATAACAATGAATAGGATCCATGGTTGACAGTACTCATCTTATTTGACCGGATTAGGGTACAGTGGAAGCCTTTAGGGTAGTGATCTGTTCTAAGTGTCTTAGCTTTTCCTGCCACTTTTGGCATGGCTCTCTTTTTCAGTTGCACTGGCAGATGACTGAGCCTGAGACTGGCCAGTGACCAAAGTTTTCTCTTGCTCTCTTGGATGCTTTCGAACATTCTTAGAGATCTTCCCCTGGAACCTGACCGTACTTCTCCTGATTCTGGCCATGCAGTCTTCCCTGGATGCCACTTCCCCCTTCGTTTCTGGTTCTCTGAAGATTGCTTTGTATAGATTCTTATGAAGCGGGAAAGGGACAATGTTCCTTGGCCTCATCAGGGATTCTTCTAGGGCAGCATTTAAATACCTCCAGCCCATATCTCTCTAATGAATTGCTCTCATCAGATCCTCAAGAAACACACATACTTTACTCCCAAATCCAGAAGGGCAAATGTGCATGGAATAAACTTGTGTTCAGCATTCTCTTCCCTCTTGCTTCACCCTTCAGCCTCTGGACTTGAGGCATGCCAGGCCCATGTCAAACGTTCCAAATATGTGCAGCAGAGCACACGGGGCACGGGGCATGCATGGTCCTCCTGAAGGCTCCCTGCCGTGAGATTAAGGACAAGATCTGCAAAGGCTGGTTCCTGGACTCAAGTATGACTTTCTTCAAAGAAAACTCCATAGATCCTCTCCTAAACTCTTTTTCTGCTGCCTTTGGTTATCCTATTTTGAGTACAAGGTTTTCAAGTGGCTAACTTTTCTTTAAAAAATTGCTTCTTGCTTTAGCAGCTTACTTTAGAATTTCACATCTATGATCTCTTGCTACCTCTGTCAAAAAGTTGTTTACATCTTGTCATACTAATAGAAATCTGTAGAAGTGAACACCAAGGACATAAAGCAAAGAAAACTTGTTCTCTACAAGCATACTGTTAGAAACGTTGCTGCTTGAGTACGAATGAGAATGAAACACTGTCCTGTCTGTGGGCCCCTTGACACAGGAGAGCAGCCTCGATTTCTATCACAGTTCAAGGGTTTTCACTACATCATGTTTATCATAACTTTATAGTTTGTAAAGGAAACAGGATCCTGAATTTATCTTTGGGCCAGACCTCACGTTAATAAAAATATCACTAACTGTTAATAAAGTATTACAGCCTTGTTTAGGTTTGAGCCTATTGTAAGACTGTGTGCTTCATATTTCACCCAAACCCCCCATTGACTCACCCCTTGCCCAAATTCCTACAAGGACTCTGTCATTCCTTTTGTTTGATGAGGCTTTCTCTGGGGCCTTACAGTGTGCTTTGTAACAAGCTCATAAACCCAACCAAGTCAGACTGAAGGTTTGTTTCTGCCAGGGTCCAGATGTTGGATAATGTCAGTAACAAGCAGATGTTTGGAGCACAGGTTATTCCTCCCAGGTTCCATTTGCAGCTCGCCATCCCCTCTGCCTCAAGGAACACAAACTCAACACCACCAATGAATGTGCCATCACTGGCATCACCCAGAATCTCACAACTACAATCATATAATGTACAAAGTACTGCAAACATATGCATATGCAAGAACAGAAATGTCTGTAGTCTGCAATAAGAGGAAATCAGTAATTGCCATATACTATTCATATGCCACGATATTTAAACTACCTGAAAGACTTTTTCAAATTACAGAAGGCATAAGATACCGATACAGTCCTCCCTACTATTCTGTATCCACATACCTATTCCTGGCTCTACGTTATCACAGCAGTGATCTGTTAATGAGAGCAGAATACTCTCAGGTATGTTTGGGAAGAGACTCTATGCCTCATTAGTCTGATAAACCCGTTATCAAAATTCTCAATTGCTGAGTGTGCTCTTAACTAAAAATACCTGCTTAATCTTGCTTGGAAATGAAAGAAACTGTCCCCATGATAGTGGAGGCTTTGTCTGACTTATTCACAGCTTTATCTCTGGAGGTCTGACACATCAGAAATACCCAGTGAACATCTGCTAAACTCTTTCATTTGGAGCACATTTTAATGGGATAGTTTTGATTCACCAATTGCACCTGAGCAAGAAACCTTCATCTGAACTACAGTAAAACCTTGGTTTACAAACATAATTCATTTCAGAAACATGCTTGTAATCCACAGCACTTGTATATCAAAGTGAATTTTCCCATAAGAAACAATGGAAACTCAGATTATTCATTCCATAACCCAAAAATTGTCATATACAAAGGATTACAAGTAATCATTTTGTAACATGACATAATATAACATACATTTTAATATAATATAATATCATTTTGTAATATAAAATATTAAAGTAAATACAAAATATAAAGAAAATAAACAAATTAACCTGCACTTACCTTTGAAAACCTTCATAGCTGGGAGAGGGAGACAAGAGAGAGGAGGGATATTGTGTAGGACGATTTTCACTATCTCTAGTGAAATCACTGCTGTTGGCTCAATGGGATCCTTTTCTTTTTGTGCAGCTTTGATAAGGAATATATCCAATGACACTTGCTTTTGCCTCCTGTTGAGGATTTCACAGAAATGTGACATTGCATTGTCGTTAAACAGATTCATCTCTCACACTGCTAAAACCTTATTTAGGT